CAGAGGTGATGAGCAAAGAAAACACATGCTTTCTAGGGAGGGGGTGATGTTACTGGGTCATTACTGGGTTATAACATACACCATACTCCAGCAAAGTTCCCATTTGGAAATCTGCATAATAACAGCAGCCATTACTCCCATGCAGCCCTGACAAACAACGATCTACTGGCCCCCTGATAAAGAGCTTCACAAACGATGCAAACAATGGCCCAGCATGATTTTCAAGAAATACAAATCGACAAACATCTCGTTGTCATGGTAACCCCAGGCAATGGACTAGACTTTTTTTGCAGATCACCAAATACAGCCACGTTTTGCCAACGCAGCAGGAGCGTGGCACTCAGAACAGCAACCAGGCATTGCTGAGGAATACCAGCTCTTGCAGCAATCTGCCCAAAAAAGCTCCGCCTTCACTAACTGTGAACATCTTCACTTCACGGTGCCAGCTGTGATTCGTTTCTCTCTCCCATCACCTGTGCTTTGGCTCCATGGCCTTCAAGGCTGGCCAGTTTTACAAGCAGAAACCACAGCGGGAATTGCGCTCTCATTATCTGCGCCTTATGTCCGATCAGCAGTGTCTCTGACAATCTGCACCCAGGAATGAAAGTTTCCAGCCAAGCTACCAAGCCCCTGCAAAACAAGAGCAGGCAGTAAAAAACTTTAGCATCCTTTTTAAGTGGCTGTGCCCCAGAGCCCTGTGCCAAAAGGGGGACAGTGCTGCTGACCCACAGACCACTGCACCCCATCAAGGCAGTAGGAAGCCTGGAAATCCTTGGCCACAAAAGACAAGGAGACTTTTGGGGTACTGATAAGGAGCAATCAACAGCAAAATGGGCGCTGGTGCTGGCATGAGGCAGCCCCATACTGGGGATCCCCAGGCTGGACAAACCCCTGGCAGCACTGAGCCTTTCTGAGGGGAACTGGCCCTGCTTGAAGCTTCACTCAGCTTTTGCAATTAAGGTGCCATCACATGCCAGCAGCTTGCAGAGCTTATAAATCCGCTTTCAATCACGTCTCTGGCCCTTTTCTGGATGTCTGTCTCAGCTGGGTCCCCTGCCCGCCCAAGGGGGCGGCTGGGCCCAACTGTGCCCAGAAGGAGAGGCCTTTCCCAGCGGGTTTGTCCCTGGCAGCAGCAGGGAGCAGCTGGCACGAGGTGGGATGGGAACCCCCCACAGAACAGGAGGAACTTCTTGGTTAAGCCAACATCTCCTGGAACCTGCACAGCACAGGGCCAAATCCTGCTCGCCTTCCTCATGCCCTGCTGCTCCATCCCTCCCTGCATCACACAGCTGGGGTTCTAACGCTAACACTATTGCACAGATAGGTAACAGCATTCATCACATGGTTTTGTGGGTTGGGGCTTTTTTTTGGTAATGGATCTCAACACAACAGCCAGTAAATGTCTATAATTTACTCACTGAGCTGCTGGAAGCCTTTTTTTTGGCCCTGGGATATTTTTGTTTCCTGTCAAAAGGATCCGCTCTGCAGCATCCTCTTAAAACCAAGGGAAACCAGGGCAGGGAAAGGAGATGCACAAGAAAAAGCTCACAATTCAGCTCCACAGGCCTTATCCTCCCAGTAATTTTCAGATGAAAAAAAAATATTATGGAATTAATACACAAAAGTAAACCTCAGGCCAGCCCAAGCAGCCATCTGAGCAGTCGAGATTAGAAACCAGGGAGGAAAACCACGGCCAGGCAGCACCTGTGCCCCAGCAAGCTGCAGCCACACAGCACTGCTCTTCCCAGCTCCCCTCCCTGCTCATCCAGCAGTGTGATCCACGAAATAAAGAATAATAATAGCAAACAAAAAACAGAAATAAGAGATGGTGCACTCTTCATCCCAGGCTGGAGGCAATATTGTCTTTACAGACCAAGAAATGGGGTATAGGAGGGTAGAGACATTTGTCACCAAAAGACAACTATTTTTGTTCGCTCCTGGGCTACACCACACAATCTCCACACTTACCCCAATGTTCACGTGCTACAAAGGAAGATGTTCAGTTCCTAAAAAACTCAGACATCAAAGGACCCTCTGGCACCAGTCAAATTAACAGGGGAGTTAGAGGTTATGGTACAAGGACTACAGAAAAATAAAATTAAAAGTTCAGCCTGAAGGGCTCTTCCGGGCCGGCTAAAGCCATCCATGGGACCATCTGTGCTGAGGGAAGGGGCACATCCCATCTTCCACCGAGCACTGACCTTGCCAGATCCACTAGAAGTTCATTAAGGAGGTGAAAACTCCTGTTGTTTTCTGAATTTTATTTTATTACTGTGAAACAGAAGACACTAGCGAGGAGAGGTGTGGGGTTTTTTTTAAGGACCCTGCAGCCTGGGGAGAAAGCCAGGGGGTCACAAAACAAAGCCCCTATTAACTTTGGTCCTGACTTTCAGGTCATGCATGTTCAGTTCTTTTTACCTGGAAATGAAGATGTTAATTGGAGCTGACAGCTTTCATAGGTTTTCCCATTAGCAATATTTTTAGCCACAGTAGGACCCAAGCCTTCAAACACTTTCCCAAGGGAAGGTTTTAACCTTTCTTTGGAAACATCTCATGCCACTCGCAGGGAAAAAAAGTTCTTTGGCTTAAGGTGTACCAAGCCCTGGCCATGTCGAACTCCCAGCTCCTTTGAACAGGGGACACAGGAGGAACATGGAAAAGAAACTGGGAAAAGGCAGCCCCAGAGCCCAGATCAGAGCTCAGCATAGTGCAGCCGCAGCACCCAGCAGGGTGCCCGCCCCTTCAGCGCCTCAACCCTCCCATCTGGGTGACAAGCTCTGAGCATGGCTTGAGCCCTTGGGGACCTCTGCAGGGTGTGCTGGCTCCAGTTTCCCCCAGTGCAGCTAATCCCCACTACAGTGATAGGACAACCCTTACAGCACAGTGCTGGGAGCCAGGAGCCAGCCAGACGTGTCCCATAACACCCTTCCTCACACTGGCAGCAGGCACAGCACCCATCCCTGGAGCACCTCTGGGGCAGTGACCTACACAGTTCCTCAAGCCCTTTTCCTGACTCAGATCAGTTCCTGTACATCAACATTTTGTTAACTTGCCAGACCCCAAAACATTTTGTTTTTACAGCTGGTTTCTTTACACACTGTTATCATCTGTATATAATGTATTGTTTTCTGACAGAGCAAAAGCCTTGAGAAACCACATTCAGCACTGTCTCCTGCCCTGGACTGAAAACTATGCAACTTTCTTACTCTCTTTTATATATGTACATATCTATAAAACTTTTATACATATATACAAAAATAAATCTTTAAAAGCAATAATATATTAATTTCAATATAGATAATGAGAGATGACAGTATTTCCTTATTTTAGAAACCTGCTCCGATGCACACATGTTCCACTGACATCACTGTTATCCCCACCAAGTTTTGCAGTTTCTCTCCAAGTGGAAAGGCATTTTAGCCAAAAGCTGTGCTGACACCCGAGGCAGCAGCGAGACATTCCCAGCAGAGCCTCAGTTATTACCTCACTGTACCCAGTGTAATCACTCTGGAAAGCCTTAGTTTCAAAATTTTATGTCTCCAAGACAATGACATCAAGGGAAACCAGGCAATTATATCTGGATGCTTTTACTCATCTTCACAGGCAGCAGCAGGATGGGGCAGCCTAGGGTTGTCCCAGTTGCTTTGCCACAATCAGACCCTGGGGTTTTGCCAGAGCAGGGACAAAAGGGACACGTTATTACCAGAGAGACCAAGGGGCTGGGGGGAGGCAGACCCCTCTGCACAGGGCTTTGTGCAAAGGTACCTGAATGCCGCAGGGCTGTGTGGGACCCCAGGGGGAGCACTAGATTTACTCCATTTGACGGGGTCCAATAGTGCCCTGATAGCTGCACCCCCAGAAGGAAAAGTGTGTTTTTGCCTCAACTGCACCACCCTTCCCTTGGGCCCTGGCATCATCACAGCCCCACTTGCACCCAGGCCCCACAGACTCACTCATATGCAAAGAGAAGGGTCCCCTCTCCCACCGAGCATCTCAAACAAGGTACACTGGGACTGCCACAACCACACACACCTCCCCAGAGATCATTTACCTGGTAGATAAGAGCACCTCTGCGATACAGCAAAGAACAGAAGCACAGTAGCAACAACCACAAGACAAAGTATCATCCCACTGAACAGAGTGCTCTGAGCTCTTCCCACCCAGGAAAGGTTGGTGAGGGCAGGCTAGCCCTCAGCTGGTGCACACCAGCCATCACCCACCTTCCTCCTAACTCACTCAGCCCAAAACAGCTGGGGCTGAGCCCTGCTTCCCTGCGGGTGGGGATGCTGCGGAGCCCCATATGCCCCATCTGGTGATGCTGGGTGGCCAACAGCGGACAGGCAAGGGACAGGGTGTGCACATGGGCTGCCTCAAGGACTCCAAAAACCAGTTGGGGTTAATAAAATAAAGTTTCCCAGGCATCTGCTTCCCTACAACAGACCTTTTTAATACAGAGCAGACTGGGGTAAAACCAGTCCTTCTGCAGAAGACCCCACATTCCCAGGGACTTGCTGCTACTTGAGCAGTAGAAACAGAGAGGAGCCTCCACCTGCTGTGTGCCGTTTATTGTAGCAGAGAGAAAAAATAACGTGCGCAAGAGGCATTTTGCATAACTTAACAGAAAAAATAACACTTTTCCTTCACTCTTCACAGAACAACGGGCAAAATAATTTCCTACACATGGCTATTTTTCTGTGCTAACAGGCTGGTGTATTGATAAAATAATGGGTTTCCTCTAATACGCTGCAATACTTGATCTGAAACCCAAAGTTCAGGCTTGGAGGGGGGGTGTTCTTTTGCCATATAACACAGCTCCCACCGGCATTTGCCTGCTGGGAGGGTGAGCACCAGGTTCGTCCCTAGCAGAAGGATTTTCACAGCGGAGTCTGGCTGAGGATGTCAAGCAGCTCTCACTGCCCATGCCACATCCTGACTGCTCTTCCCTGGTTCGACTGGAGAGATGACTCGAAATGAGGGGGGCGTGGGCAGCACCAGCAGCCTCATTCCAGGGCCAGCGAGGGGATCTTGCAGACAAAGGGGAAGGCTCTGCCGCAGGCGTTGTCATTCCAGGAGCGCAGCGCTACCCCCCAAAAAAAACCAAGATGTTAGCCAAAAAAAGGCATGAGAAGGTAACCACACACTGCCCTTGGAATCGGAACCTTCTGCTGTTGCAGGAGGCTTTCCCTGTATGTCCTCCCATTTGGCTGCTCCCAGCTGTGCTCCTCCCAAGCATCCCCATCCCTGTTCTGGAGATGCTGGCATGGATGTCTGGCCCTGGCTCAAACATGATAGCAGGGCTGCAGCTGCAAACACAGCCCTGTACCCCACAGAATATCAACAGGCTGCCCATGGACAGGTTTAGGTATACACCTGACTGGTCCCACTGGCCAGTTTGAAGTGGGATTTTTGCACAAGCAGACTCTTGCCCGGCTTCAGCAAGATGTTCCTGGCCTGAGTTAGGGAGGGAAAAGCTGGCACACCAAGGCTGCATCTGGGAGGGGAAAATCAGAAATTGTGACCTTTGGCTAAATTCAGTAATTCTTCAAAGTGGGTGATGTTCCCCTCTTGCCACTACTATGGGAGAGGGTGATGGGCTGTTAGCAGAGGGAAAGTGAATGTGCATGTATGTGTGCACGTGGTGAAAGATAAAACACATTCCTGCAAAGAAAAAAGAAGATAATAATAAAAGATTAAAATGCAAACCCTCAGCCTGCCAGCAACCTCTTCAGAAAAGCACAAACCACAGTGGATTGACATTATTAACAGGAAAATATGACTTAAGGTGCCCTTGGCGCCCAATGCAGCACTCACCACTGCTGTGCCGGTACCAGATCTGCACGCAGTCCTCCTCCTCTGGGATGGAGTGGATGCCATCGTCGGGCTGACTGCCATCCCAGTAGTGGTAGTCATAGGAGGAGCCGTCCGTCCACTCAAAGTGACCCTCCTGGCATGGAGTGAGCGGAGAAAGGCAGTGATTGCAGAGCCCATTCGCAGAGGTGGGGCTTCCCGCTCCCGTGCAGCCCCATCCCCATCCCTGGTACCACACAGCCCAGAGACACGGGGAGAGACTGTCAGTGCTCACTAAAGGCCCAACAGCACATTTGGGTTGTACAACTGAGAACCTACCCTGGAAAGCCCCAGCATTGGCACCGGGGGAAGCCCATAAATTAAACCCATATATTTTTTAACACACCTTCCCAATTCTGTGTTCCTTTTTCTTTTCCATTCCTTTCCCAATATCTACAAAAAATTTGCTGGCATGAGACTGTTCTCTGATGATCTTGCTTTTTCTCTGTTTCATATTAGACTATATATTTCCAACATGTCAGTTTTGAAAAGTTGCAAAGTATCACAAGAAAGCAATAAAACTCGGTGATTTTTGACGTTGGAGGCATTTTCCATTTATTTGCTCTTCTTCGACCAGCAGTACAATACTCTATTAACCCATTAATAAAATGCCATGTGAAAAATTAGTAATTATTAATCTATTAATTCTAGTAACACTTTTCTTTTGAAAGCAGACTAGAGAGGATGAAATTACAAACTCCCTCGTGCATTGCACAACAGACCCTACACCACCACCCGATTAATGGGGCTATAAGGAATGAAGGAGAAAACCAAGTGGCTTTCCAGGTGGAAAATGCAGGGAAGTAAATTTTTCAAGGCCATTTCCCATGTGATTCTGGGGAACTCTCACCTGCCGCAGGTCATTGAGCCCCATCCAGATGTCAGTGGGGATGCCCGGTACACGGCTGTTCACCAGGTCGTACACAAAGACGTTTTCCTCCCAGCTAGCAAGACAGAGACATAAGGAGCTGCTGAGGGGGTGTGTCAGGGAAATGGTCAGAGCATCCACCCCATGGCATGGCCAGATGGAGCCCCCTCTCTAATTGCTATTGAATTCTTTCCTGGGTCTGTGCGAGAGGTGCATAGTGTAGAGCTGAGGGACAGGGAGCAGGGAGAAAGCCTGCGTAATGAGGTTGTCTTTCTATCCTTTTTTTCAAGAGTAAAAAATGAAGTTTGGAGGAATTTAGGAAATGCTACATGAGTTCTCCTGCCAGGTCAGAAAAAGACTCTCTTTTTTTTTCCACACCTTTGTATATACAGTATACAAATGTATTTCACAGAGCATCGGCCCTGCCCTGGTTGCTGCAGAGGGATGCTCAGGTGGACACAAGCTGGCACACAGATTGTGCTGTGGCAATGAGGCCTCATCCCCGTTTTCCTTCTTCCCCAGGCAGTGCTATGGTGGAATGACAAGTTTCTGCACTCCTCACCTGTGGATGGAGGCCAGCTTGGCTGATCTGATGCCAATGGAGAACTCAGCACAATAGAGGTCAGCTTCAGCCCAGGTTTTGTTGATGGGGAAGTACCGGTAGCAGTGGCCTTCGTACTCTGTCCAGAAGAGAGGGCAGGAGTAGGCGTGGACGGGCTCTGGCATGGCTGGGGACAGAGCAGAGGACATCCAGCGGCTGAGGGGAAGTGGCATGGCTGGGCAGCAGTGCCCAGCCCTGCTCCCCAAACCTCACACAAGCAAATAACCACCAAACACTCGCATGGAGAAACCAAAGTCACAGGAGCTGTGCAAAAGTTTGCAAATACCAAAACACATTTTGCAAAAGCTGTGGGTTCCTCAGTGGTACCATCTGCCTAAATCAGGAAGCACTTTTCCACCCAGTTTAGCATTGTTTTAGGCAAAGGCTGCTTAAAATAAAGGCACTGATTTTTGCTACTCGGGAAACCAAGATAAGGACTCCTCTTGTCTCTATCAGGCACCACTGGAGCTGCTGTGCTGTGATGGGAGCTGACAGCCAGGGCCTGCAGGGTTATGGCCATACTCTGCCCTTCTGCAAGGCCAATTTGCACCTCCTTGCTCTGAGCAAAACCCCTCACAGTGTCCTTGGGCCCGGACGCTCCCATGCATATATGCACGCCTTGGATTTCAGCCCCATAAATAGCTGGGTGAGGGGCGGGAGCGGTGCTGGCCTATCTGCCTCCCTCCACCAGATAAGAGCTGGGGCCCATGGAGCTGCTCCTCCTCCCTCACCACTTCTCAGAACAGTGGGGAAGTTACCCCAGAAGAGGCCATTTTAGGAGGCAGGATGCATTCCTGGGGCCTTTGTTGTTGCTGCTGAGTAAACACTGCAGTGGCATTAACACTTCTCTCTGGCCTCCTCCACGTCTTGCTCCTTCTGTTGTGTGCGGGGACGATGGAGCCCCCACACATAACACATAACACCCAACATGAACACATGTGTAAGCCCCAAATCTTGTGGTACGTAGGCTTAACTCTCTTAGCCACTGGTTTTTGAGCCTTGGGGAATTGCCAGCTTCCCCAGAACCGGTTCCCTTATCTCCATGGGGTCCTGGTCTAGGGTCAGTGCTACTGTCAGAGTGAGCAGGGAGGTGGGCAGGGCAGGGGTGGTTACGGCAGACATCAGATGCCATTAAACTAGCCAAGCAGGTAAAAGGCTCAAGGCTGGAGAGGTCAGGGTGATGCTACATGGCCTCTGGTACCGAGGGGGC